GGTCTTTGAAGTGACAAATGATCCCGCTCCCCGCTCCCCATCATCGTCGTCCCCCTCCCGCCCAGCCCTTACCAGCTGGTTGGAGACATCGCCATGGTCCTTCCTGGTCATGCCCTCCCCGATGGCCGATTTCATCAGGCGGGAGAGGGAGGGCAGCACGTTGATGGGGGGGTAGATCTGCAGGGCGAGAGGGACCCCCCCAACGCTTGCCTGCTGCCAGCCCCCCCACCCTGTGCAGGCAAGGGGACCGCTGCCCTCACTTCGGGCTCCCCCCTGCCCTCAGCACCCCCGGCCCCAGTGCTCTCGGTTGGTTTCCAGCCCCACGTGATGCCAGCAGGCACGGCAGTGCCAGATCCATCCCTGCTCCGCTGTGGCATGGAGCCGGGAAGGGAGATGGGAACGAACCTGCCTGTTGTGGAGCTGCCGGTCGACGTAGATCTGCCCCTCGGTGATGAAGCCCGTCAGGTCCGGGATGGGGTGGGTGATGTCTGGGGAAAGGCAGGGTGGTGTGAGCCCCAAAAACGTGTCTGGCTGCTCAGCCGGGGCCCCGCAAAGGCCGCTGGCTCCGGGGGGGGGTGACGGGAGCAGCACATCCCCGGGGAAGCTGCACCAGTGTGCAGCTGCAAGCAAGAGCCGGTTTCTTGCATCGCTGGGCAGAGAACTGCCTGGTTTAGACTTGCCCGTGTGTGCACACACCCGCGGGTACACCCACGCCTGCACCCACCCCAAGTCTGAGTCCCCCCCAACCGCAAGTCTTGGCTGAAACCCAGCACTCTGCTCCATCTGGGGGGGGCCCAGAGGCGTGGCATGGGGGGAAAAAATAACCCTAAAGCATCCCAGCAAGCTTCGCTACCCCGACAGAGCCCACAAGCTCCCCCAAAACCTGTTAAACCAAAACAATTTGGCATTTCCTAAGACGAGAGGAAATGGCCTGAAGCTGCATCAGGGGATGTTTAGGTTGGATATTAGGAAAAATTTATTCACGGAAGGAGTGGTCAAGCATTGGACCAGGCTGCCCAGAGAGGTGGGGGAGTCCCCATCCCTGGAGGGGTTCAACAAAAAAAGCTGCACCAGGGGAGGTTTAGGTTGGATATTAGGAAAAATTTCTTCACGGAAAGGGTGGTCAAGCATTGGAACAGGCTGCCCAGAGAGGTGGTGCACTCACCATCCCTGGAAGCATTCAAAAACGGGCAGAGGTGGCACTTGGGGACATGGTTTAGTCTAGTCTACCCTTGGTTGGTTTAGTGTAGACTTGGTAACGTCAGGTGAATGGTTGGACTGGATGATCTTCAAGGTCTTTTCCAACCTCAACAATTCTATGATTCTATGATGATTTCCCATCCCTGTGGTTTCCCGATGCAGGCACAGCGGTAGCACCACACACCCCACAGGGACCCCCATGTGCCCCCTGGGGCCACTGACCATCGTTGGGCATGGTCAGGATGGGAATCTGCGTGATGGAGCCGTTCCTGCCCTCCACGCGCCCAGCCCGCTCGTAGATGGTGGCCAGGTCGGTGTACATGTAGCCGGGGAAGCCACGGCGGCCGGGCACCTCCTCCCTGGCTGCTGACACCTGCGGGACGGGGGGGGGGGCTGCAGTTCGTGCTAGGAGGGCTCAAGCACCCCCAGCACCCTGGGCACCCTGAGCACCCCCAGCATCCTGGGCATCCCAAGGACCCCAGGCACCCTGGTAACCCCAGATATTCTGGGCACCCTGAGCACCCCAGGCACCCCGAGCACCCCAGGCATCCTGGGAATCCTGGGCATCCCAAGCACCCCAGGCATCCCAAACACCCCCCAGCACCCTGGGCACCCTGAGCACCCCAGGCATCCTGAGTACCCCAAGTATCCTGGCCACCCCGAGCACGCCCAGCACCCTGGGCACCCTGACCACCTCCAGCATCCTGGGCATCCCAAGCACCCCAAGCACCCTAGGAACCCCAGGTATCCTGGGCACCCCAGGCTTCCCAAACACCCCAAGCACCCTGGGAATCCCAGCACCCTGGGCACCCTGAGCACCCTGGGAACCCCAGCATCCTGGGCACCCCGAACACCCCTGGCATCCTGAGTACCCCAAGTATCCTGGCCACCCTGAGCACCCCCAGCACCCTGGGCACCCTGAGCACCCTGGGAACCCCAGCACCCTGGGCATCCCAAGTACCCCAAGTATCCTGGCCACCCTGAGCACCCCCAGCACCCTGGGCACCCTGAGCACCCTGGGCACCCCAGCACCCTGGGCATCCCAAGCACCCCAAAAACCCCAAGCACCCTGGGAACCCCAGGTATCCTGGGCAGCCCAGGCACCCAAACAGGGCAGTCCTCATCCCCTGGCACACAGCGGGAGGACCCAGGGGACCCGGGCAGATGCTGGGGGACACGCGCTGACCTCCCGCAGGGCCTCGGCGTAGGAGCTCATGTCCGTCAGGATCACCAGCACGTGCTTCTCGCACTGGTAGGCGAGGAACTCGGCGGTGGTCAGGGCCAGGCGGGGGGTTATGATCCGCTCGATCCTGTGAGGGGGACAGGGTGGGCACCCCCAGATCCCAGTCCCCCCCTCCACACAGCATCCCCGGAGCCCAGCAGGCACCCGCCTGGTGCTGAGCTGCAGAGGCTCCCATGACTGGGCACCCCTGGGGATCTCAGCTCTTGGTGTCCCCAGGCTGGGACCTGGCGATGGCCAGGGAGGAGGAGGGAGGCACCCACTGCCCACCCAGAAGGGCACACGGAGGACCCCAAGGGACTCAGCATGGGAGGAGGAGCAGGAGGAGGAGGAGGAGAAGAAGGAGAAGGACAGGAACAAGGACAAGGACAAGGAGCAGGAGGAGGAGAAGGACAAGGAGAAGGACAAGGAGAAGGACAAGGACAAGGAGGAGGAGAAGGATGAGGAGAAGGAGGAGGAGGAGGAGGAGGAGAAGGAGGAGGAGGAGGAGGAGAAGGAGAAGGAGAAGGAGAAGGAGAAGGAGAAGGAGAAGGAGAAGGAGAAGGAGAAGGAGAAGGAGAAGGAGAAGAAGGAGAAGGAGAAGGAGAAGGAGAAGGAAGGACAAGGACAAGGACAAGGACAAGTACAAGTACAAGGACAAGGACAAGGACAAGGACAAGGACAAGGACAAGGACAAGGAGAAGAAGGAGGAGGAGAAGGAGAAGGAGGAGGAGGAGGAGGAGGAGGAGAAGAAGAAGAAGAAGAAGGAGGAGGAGAGCGCAGTGCCAGAGCCATGGGGCTGACTCACGTGGGGTCATTGGCCAGGTTGAGGAAAAGGCACACGTTCTCCATGGAGCCGTTCTCCTCGAAGTCCGACTTGAAGAAGCGAGCTGTCTCCATGTTCACCTGCTCACGTGGGAGGAGCAGCTGGTCAGCAGGAGTGGGGCAGCTTCATGCATGGGGAAACTGAGGCAGGCAAGGGACGAGGAGGTGCAGGAAGGCAGCAGCAAGGCTGCCTACACATCCTGTGCAATTTGGGCTCCCCTGTCAGCAGGTTTTGCCAAGGTCGGTTGGGCTGTGCCGTCCCGGCACTGACTCACCCCCATGGCAGCAAAGACGATGGCGAAGTTGTCCTCATGGTAGTCTACCACATCCTTGGACTTCTTCACCAGCCCAGCCTGCCGGCAGATCTGCGCCGCGATCTGCAACGGGACAGGGACAGACAGGAAGCACAGGGCCAGCGCCCGCGGCCAAGTCCCCCCCCTACCAGGATACGGCCCCGGCAGCAGCGAGGGGCAAGGGGTACAGGGGATGGAGATAGGAGAAATAGGAACCAGCACAGGAGAGAGCATCCCAGCACGGGCACCAGCACCCCGAGCCTGCAGGTCTGGGGGGAACAGGGTGTCCCCCACCCCAGCAGCCATGCCCCCTCGCCGTGGCACAGCACCCATCGTGCCGAGCCCTGACTTGACCGTGGTCACCCTCCTCCGTCGCTCCCGATCTGTCAGGGCCGGTTTTCCGTCCCATCGCATCACCGTCTGTGCCGGGGGGAGGGAGCCGGGGCGGTGCTGCCCATCCACCGCGCCAGCGCACCCATGGATCAGGCTGGTATTTCCCGTGCCCGGCACGACCGCGCTCGCGGGGCTGTGGGGTGGTCTGTGGTGCCCCACTCCACGGGCTCGGGTACCCACATCAGCCCAGATCACCTCTCCCCGCCCAGCACAGCTCTTGGCATAGAATCATGGAATCGTTTGGGTTGGAAAAGACCTTGAAGATCACCCAGTCCAACCATCAACCTGACACTGCCAAGCCCACCACTAAACCAGTTAAGGGCAGAGTCATAATTTCATGTGTCCAGCTTGGTGGCTGGATTATTTTTAATGAAAGTAAAGCTAGGAATCATTAAGGTTGGAAAGGATCTCTAAGATCATCAGCCCAACCATCAACCCAACACCCCCATGCCCACTAAACCGTGCCCCAAAGTGCCACCCCATGTCCCAAAGTGCCACACCATGTTCCAAAGTGACACGAAAAGCATACCAGGGTTTGCTTTACCCCTCGTTGTGCAGATGGGGAAACTGAGGCACGAGGCAATGTGAGCTTCCCTTCTCACTAGCCCATCACCCTGCGTGGCTGCGGGGGGGTCGTGGAACACAACAGACACCCCAAAAATGGGGGTCTGGCCCGTCACGGTGAGCAGAGCACAGCAGGGAGAGGAGGAGAGATGCAGGAGACAGGCTCCAGCCCTCCCAAACTCCCCCCGTGCTGCCTCCTCCACCCTCCTCCTCGTGTGGCTGCCGGGGCTGTGCCAGGGGCTCGGTGCCCCACGGGGACCCACCTCGTTGTGGGGGAGACCGGCAGCGGAGAAGATGGGGATCTTCTGGCCCCGGGCAATGCTGTTCATCACGTCAATGGGCGAGATCCCAGTCTGGATCATCTCCTCGGGGTAGATGCGGCCGTGGGGGTTGATGGGCTGGCCTGGAGCAGGAAAGGAAGTGAGGCACCCGCAGGGTACCCCGAAATGGAGGAATTGCCCCCCGTTGGTGCTAAAAATGAGGCATGAGCTTCTGGAGCTAAGGAAGAAGCGTGCTCTTGGACCAGTGCAGCCACCCCACACCAGCCCTGGGGTGGGATGGGCTCACCAGGCACCACCCCTGCACCCGTACCCCCACCCAGGGCACCCCAATGGGGACGGATGGAGGCCCCCCTCGGGGGGCTGGGCCACGGGCTCCAGCTGGTAAAGGGAGCCGGCAAAGCAATGCCGTGCCCAGAGCCGTCACCGTTAATGTCCAGGAAATCCTCGGCCATCACCACGGGACCGCTGTCGATGGGTTTGGCGGAGCCGTTGAAGACCCGACCTGCGAGGAGAGAGCTGCTCGTCGCCTGCCAGCCTGGCGCAGACCCCTGCGAGCAGGCAGCTGCCCGTCCGTGGCTGTGGGGCAGGGTTTCCATCCTGCTCCCCGTG